TCATGGAGTTCATATCAAATATATATATCAGCACGGATCTGGAGGTGTTTGATAATCAGAGCAAATCACCTAAATTTACAGGTTGTTGTGAATTCGAATTGGATTGTAGACTACCTCACGCCTTAATTTCTTGCAGCATATTTCTTTAACAGTTTTTAAAGAACAAACCAAAAATATATTGGAAATGTTTGTAATTGAAACCAGTTAAAATATGTTCATCAACGGAGAAATTGGCTGTTCGTATTATTTATTATTTCCTTTCATTGATTATTTAATTCTTTACATGTTTTGCTTGGTTGGTTTTTTCTTAGTGTTTTATATAGTCTTTTTTCTTGATTCTTATATGGATATAAAAAGGCTTAACTGGTAAAAAAAGTACATTCTTAAAAGTATGTTTATGTTCTGTTATTTCAGCGTGTTTATAATTAATTTTGAAAGAATTATGTGCATATAATAGTACGTTTAATCTTAAGCAGTGGGGATTTTTACGTTTTTTTTCATTTTTTTATTATCAAAATTGCTAGTTATATTTTCTCTGTAGAAAAACAAATTAGATCGAGATGCAATTTCGTGATTAATTTAATACCAAACAGAAAACAATAAACATATATATATATATATATATATATATATATATATATATATATATATATATATTTATATTTATTGTTTATAAAACTACCTCACGCCTTAATTTCTTGCAGCATATTTCTTTAACAGTTTTTAAAGAACAAACCAAAAATATATTGGAAATTTTTGTAATTGAAACCAGTTAAAATATGTTCATCGACGGAGAAATTGGCTGTTCGTATTATAAACTACCTCACGCCTTAACGTTCGTATCTTCTGTTATCCGAAATATTTATAAATAATTACATTTATAGTTCCTTTTTTTGTTATTGGTGTTGTTGTGTACACTTTTTAGGCGTTTATATATATATATATATATATATATATATATATTGTTTATATTAAATTTTGTGTATTAGTAGATTGATTATGTTTTATTCATGTAGTTAATATTGTATGCAGAGAGCCTTGTTGAAAATAAGTTAAATCCAAATGAATTACTCTCTTTAAATAAATATATTATTATTATTATCAAAGTTATACAAGGCTTTAAATTTCATGGTTTCATTGCAATACTGCAAAAACTGTATAAGTAGTATCATTTTAGGATTTTAATATTTAGGTTGAACCCAAGTTTTTCATAACAAAATCACTAGTCGAATATAAACTGACAACGCCATGGCAAAAAAAAAACCCAAAAGACAGACAACAGTAAACAAAAAACACAACAGAGAGAACTAAGGACTGCGCAACTCAAACCCCACCAAAAAATCGGGGGTTATCAAACGCAATGTATTTTATAAAGATGTTAAGAAGTTGGTAAAGCTTTGTTTATATCTATTTTGTCCGCAAAATACGTGAATTTTGTCTGTTAACATTTGCAGTTTACTAACAAGTATCACGTAGAAGGCATTACATAACCAATGTCGAGACAGTATTCTTGTTAATTTTGTTGTGTCTGTTATGTTTCAATTTGTATGGAAATCGGTCTATGAAGCATTTTTAAATTGTTTGTTTTATTTTAAAAATAAAATGTCAGAGGAGGCGGAGTAAAAGTATAATAACACTATTTGTAAATGTTAATGCACTGTTTTAAGCTCCTTTAATTTCTTCGTTTTCCATACAACAAAGTACCACAACATTAAACAGTGACTTTTTATAACTTCATGTTACTTCATGTTTCAATCAAATAAAAAAACCATTTAATATGAATAAAAACAATTGAAAATCTCTTTGGAAGGATAATTGTAAAAGATGATTTCATTTTCAAATTTGCAATTTCACGGTTTTGGGGAACAGAAATATGCATGGTCACTCTTCGTATTCTTCCGACCGGCAGTAAAACCTAAAAGAAGGCCGTCCGTTTTGCTGTGCAGGATGTACAAGTAAGCAGTCACGTCCGGTCAGAATGGGGACGATAAATCCGATGCCTAGTGTAAAGAGAATGCCACGCTCTTTGTACGTAGAAAACCCTTGCAGGAACTTTTCAGGGGTTCGTAGGTAGCCTGTTGCAAGGCAAAATTTCTTTCCCAAACCAACATACCCTCCTTTTCGAGCGGCAGTCCAAATTTCCCCGACCTTCATCTTGGACGGTCTATATTACAGGACCTATCTATTGCATTTATTGTTAAATTGTTTGTCTTGAACATGCATACACGTTTTTTGATTGAGTTAAGCCTTCCAATTGATATTTTATAGTGTGCTTTTCTATGTTGTGATGTTATACTATTGTTTCAGAAAAGGAGAAGGTTTGGTACCATTAAAACGTTTAATCCCGCTGCAAATGTTTGCACCTGTCAGGAATCTGATTACAGTAGTTGTCGTCTGTTTATGTAGTTCATACGTGTTTCTAGTTTCTCGTTTTCATATAGATTAGACCGTTGGTTTTTCCGTTTGAATGGTTTTACACTAGTAATTTTTGGGGCCCTTTATAGCTTGCTGTTCGGTTTGAGCCAATGCTCCGTGTTGAAGGCCGTACCTTGACCTATAATGGTTTACTTTTATAAATTGTAACTTGGATGGAGAGTTGTCTCATTGGCACTCATACCACATCTTCCTATATCTATGAAATACTTGCCACTGGACGTATAACAACCAACAACCAATCAATTAATCACGGTATTGGCGTTCTTGGTTGTGTAAAGAAAAAAAAAGAATGGTTACTGTACTGTGAATAAAAGAAGACTTAAACTATTATACTTCAATCAGACAGCAACCCTGCGACAAAAAAGACAAAAGACATGTTGATGTGTCTCATTAATATGCAAATTTCTAAACACTCTCGAGTCTTGAAAAGATGTGAGTTATTTTATCAGATACAAAAAATGAAATATTAAAAAGTCTATCGTACAAGACAAATAAACATTAACATCATCAATGCTTTGATTTTAAAAGTTTTAACTATATTTTATTCTAATCGGAGAAACCACTATTAATTTAGTACGTAATGAATTAAACAAACACACTTTAATCTTGACTTTTATCTGTTTTTAACGACTGAAAGTTTGCCACATTTGGAGAAATATTGGAGAGTTGGTTGTTGACGATACACGCATTGCAGTCTTCGTATTCTTTGGCTTTGCAGGGCGAGTAAAGATAACGATGTGTGCTTTAGGCGAACTTTTTGTATGCTGTGTTGTAGCTAAAAGTAAAAATAAATGAAATTATTTAATTCTTCGATAACTTTTTACAGTAAAACAAGCATATTTCTTCAATCTTAGAATACAGGTTGCAACAAGGATGTGTCAATTGTTCTGTCAAATATATTTTTTATATTTATTTCAATTCGTTATTTATTATACATAGAGCAGAAATACAGATAGATAGATATGAAACGAATTAAAGTAATAAAACAGACATATATTTATAAGGGCACTAGCTGTCAAATTCATGTTCATCGATTTGACTTAAATTCTCATATTATATTTATAACATACTTAAACGTATATCTAAATCACAAAAAGTTTAAAATAAACAATTAACAATGCATGGACTCGATAATATGTATCAACATTTCATGTGTTTTTTTTTGTCTAAACGTCATCTAATTTACAATCGGGATGACCTCCGACGGTCATATAACCCGATATAAATATAACTTTAACTAGATTTGTAATTGCTAGCAATAACAGATGGCATCCTTCCCCCATTGCCACGGTAACGGCAGTCATTTTGAAAATTCCAAAGTCAAAGAGTGCATCTACACATGCTGATTAACATTTTTGTAAAGTTTCAATAAGTTTTGAGCATTTTGAATTTTTTGACATTTTTGCAGTTTCCATGGTAACGGCGGCCATTTTGAAAATTCCTATGTCAAACTGCAAATCAGCACATGGCAGTTACCATTTCTGTGAAGTTTCTTTCCATTTGGGACACTTTGAATTATTTCGCATTTTTGCTGTTTCCATGGAAACGGCGGCCATCTTGAACCATTCCATACCAAGGTGCACAACTTTACATGGGGGTCCTCATTATAGTAAAGTTCCATCAACATTGGTCCATTAAATTCCGAGAAACACGACGGACAAAATGTGTGGAAGAAGAATAATAAAAATAAGAAAAAAAAAACAAAAAAAAACGTAAAATAACAATACGTCAGCCCAACTCCGTTGAGGGTGCCATAAATATAAATAGATAGCGGCCACGTGCATTTAGATTTTTCTAGGTCTGTTTGATTTCATATTGTAAGTTTAAAAGTATGTTCATCATCGTTTTTACCTGTATAAGAATGATTTGTTGTGGATCGAATCAGTCAACCAAGTGGTTCATCCTTGATACACTTTCAATTTTTACATTATTTCCCCTTAAATAGCTGAATATATGCGTTACCCATCTCCAGCTAAGGGGTAAAATTGAAGGTCACATGCATACGGATTTAATGAGATCGAATTATTCACTTGCAAGTGAATAATTCATCAGCGATGTTTCTGAGCTTATTTTTGACAAAATTGAACAAAATTGGCTGCAAAAAGTGAATTATTTTTTAATTATATCACTTTCATTGAACAAAACAAAATCATATTTTAATTTTTTTGATATTTCGTAGCTAATGTCCTTTTAAAGAAAGATTAGGTATTATTTTCGTTAAATGATATATTTTAAAGATTTTGTCTTGTGTTGTTTATGAAAAATCTTGTTACGCCGATATTTTGATCAACCTGAGATCTGTATATATATTGACATCATATGCCGCACAACTTTCGTAAGATTCTATAGAAACGTAAACTGTTTGACATCTGCCGTTTTGCATGTTCAATTCGATAGGAAGTTGAATATGATTATACGAATTGCATTTTGAAAGTTGTGGCAAAATGTATGACAAACAAAAAATACATTTCAAAGTTGTCTTGTAGCAGTTACCTTTACAATTAGATAAGTTGGTCGCGTAGCAAATCGCATGGCAAGCGTCAACGCAGGTTTTGTCATTTAGTTCAACTCTTTGCAGCTGGTTGTGTTTGCATTACAATCGAATCTGTTAAATATTATGTTGTGATCAGTTTTGTTGTTTACTGTTCTTTTTTTTGTCTAAAAGGTTTAATACTACGGTCTACAATTGGACAGACATTCTGTCAAAGAGCTAGAGCTCGTATAGAGACTACACTTTTAATATTTCCAGCCATGCTATATTCTTGTAAATTTTGTATTTGTGATAATTTTTCTGTTTACGGTGCCTGTCTATTTATCATAGGCGTCATGTCGATTCACATGATTGGTATTTTATACAAAGCAGGGGACGCGTTTCTTGTCGACCAAACCAGGGGGCGTATTTGATCCAGAAATGGTCCTAGATTCATCTATGAACTTCAAATGTAATATTTCATGCATACAGAAAACAAGAGTGTACTATATGTAAATGACGACGTATATTACTTGTTATTATGAATAAAAAACATACGATTCCCTGAAGAAGATGATTGCTGCAAACTGTTTTTTGAAGCTGGTGTTACTGCGTGCTGTGTACCACGTGTGGACTGTATTGGAGCCTGTGACGTCGGAGTTGAAGCCTGTGTTGATGTTGTTGGAGTCTGTGTGGTTGAAGTTATAGAGTGTGTGGTTTTAGTTGGAGCCTGTGTGATCGTCATTTGACCTAGTGTTGTTGTTGGTTTTGATATGGTAGCCTGTGTGGATGGCACTTTACCTGCGATAAGAGAAGATGATAACCTAGATGTATTGCTAAACATTTTATTCTGTATTTGACTTTTTAGATTAACGCGAAGGTTGTTGCCCACTTGAGTTGTCAGTGTGACAGTAGTATATACCATTCTTTTCAATACTTTGTGACATTATAAAATCTTAACAAAATAGTAAAAAATATTTATTTGTCGTTTAATCTACAGTTATGATCATCTGTAAAAAAACAAATTTATGTATCTATAGTATTTCACAAGTTAGGAGGTTAATCTTCTCTTTCTAGCTTTCTTTCTCGATCCTGATATATTTGAAAAGCATATTCAACCATATGATTCTTTTTAGCAAGTATTAAGGCAATATCACATTAATCATAACAAAGATGAAGCGTACATGTGATTTACTTTGAAAGTGTCATAATAACACGTTGTATGTTATTAAATACATATCAATTTAAGGGATAACAGATGATGAAATAACACATAAATATAATTATTTGATGAACAACCTGTAACTAGTTGCAACACAAACTTTTTCTCTGAAAAACAAGTGGTGTTACTATCTATGTACAATATACTAAAATCATACAGAAATGTATTTTATTTTGGGGAAAGGAGTTTTATTAATCAATCCTATTTGGCAAAGTTGAAAAAAAAAATTAATCATACAAAAATAATCTGTATTTAAAAAAAACAGTCATAATAATAAGACAAACCACATAATTTTCTCCATGTATACAAAAGGTATTACAAATGAAACACATAACAGTGTGTATAACCTACAGTTGGAAAACAGTACGTAATGTATTTGACCATCTTAGTCACAATCTTACTCGGTAATTGAAAGAATGCTGCCACTGTTGCTTAGGCGCTGACTGGTCATCATTTTGTGAGGTGGGGTCATAGTTTTTTGGAAAACATTTTTTGGTTCTATGTTATTTGTTTTTTGCAAGACTTATTTTTTTGAAATTCTAAGTCTTTAATGTATTTACTTTTTCTAACCTTAAGCAGCATTTTCTTGTTCATTTCCCCATCTGTAACAAACATCTTTCCAGAGATTTAGAATCCAACAATTTATTTATCAAAAGAAGAAGAATTGTGAGTGTTTCATGATTATAATGTTGAATATTTTTCAAAGGTGAGAATTTCAGGCTCCTGAATCCAATAGTTACTCACGTTATTATAATCGATCTCAGTAGACCATCGAAATCAATCTTGAGCTTTTCAAGCTATTTTAGATGCAACACTGAAGCTCATTTTTCACTTTGCCTGTTAATCTGATGTGTACTGATTTACATCTTAGTCTGGGTAAACATGAATTATTCATTAGTAGCAACCAGCTTTGAACTAGCCGCGAGTACTCAAGTGTCTTTTTGTAAAGTTTTTTATGCTCCGTGCGGATCAGTTGAGTCCAGCCCATTCAAATTGACTTGTACAGTTTTTTATCATTTTGTGCTGTTTCCTTACTGTCCCTGATAATGAGAGGGTTTAGCGTTTGCAATCCTGCAATAATATAAATGTGCAACTCATTGGCCTGTAATTGATTGGTGGTCATTTTATTGTTATATTTGTTTTTCCTTTTATTGTTTTAACATGAATCAGGCCATTGGGCTTCCCGTTTGAATTATTTAATATTTCAAAATATCTGGAACTTTTATAGCTTCATATACTAGTATGTAATGGGCTTTGCTAGTCATTGACCTATAGTTGTTTACATTCACACCATTGTTATCTTTTGTGGATAGCTTTCTCATTGGCAATCATATGACATCTTCTTTTTTTCAAAGTGAGAATTTTTTTCAACAAATTACGGTTTGACCGTCAAAAGAGAAAACAAAAGACTCCCCACATTTGAAATAATATCACTAATAGAATTTAGTGGATCATAAAAGCTAAACATTTATATCAGGTTGGCATGAGTGGTATTTTAATTGATATATGTGTTGAGTTTCATACGAATTAGTTGAACGCAAGTCAGCATCAAGAAATCAAAAAATGGCATCTTTGACATTGAATTTCAAGCACTCTTTCTATAAAAGAGTATATTTATGAATAAGCGAAATTGTAAGATATTTAAGATCAATTAGAGAGCAGCCCAAATGACAAAAAAAAACAATAGACTTACTTTAAGATCAAACAAAACTTACTAAACGAAATTTTAGGAACTAAATGTTAAGTGATGCATGCTCTGGTAACAGTTCTTGGATATGCTTAGGCTGTTTAAAATTTATTACATTAAGTCAGAAGATATATAAGGAATGAACTGTGTAATGGTTTACTGTATATATTTCTTTGGCCATGATATTTTCATTAAATAGACAACCCATGTTAGTTCTTTGTCATTTTCATTTAGCTGCTTTTCAGACCACCATATACTGGTTCAACAAGGTATACATATTATGCGTGGTTGGTATCAGCACTTCCTATAGGAAGTAAAAAATTTAAACCTATCGATTCATTTAACAGGAATATATTCAGACTGAGACTACTGATTGTATGAATATTCCGACATTAAATGTGTAGATAATTCCTTGTACCTCTCTTTATGACATTTCCCCCAAGGAAACCAGCAGAACTGCCGATTGTTTTCGAGTCTGAAAACAACCTCATCAAAATAAGTTGTGGCATGCTTTTCATTGAGGTAACTATCCACCAGAGTCAAAATGACCCGATGTAAGCAAATGTCCACTGAATTCACATATTTGTCTTTGAATTTCGTAAGATAACATTTTCCCTGTTCATCTTATATTCAACTACCACATTTGACCACTTTGGAACAAATACTTCTAAATTCAAGATCTTAAGGTAAACTTATAATCATATAATAAAGCTACCATTAAAATTAAAAAAAATAAAGATCTACTTTTCATGTTCATTCAGTGTATATATTCTATAATTTAAAAAAGCGAATACATCAGAAATTAATCATTGATATTGACAGTGCTTGCCAAATAACATTATCAACTGTTAAAGAGAAAACTACAATCACATCATCTTTAACTGTGACTTAATGTTATTCAAATGTTGTAAACGTAGCTAATAAAAAATACCAAAATGAGGAATACCGTCAATGATGAAGCAATGACACAAGAGAAAAAAATTTTTTAACGATTAATATGACAAAATCAACCTAAGTAACCAAACTGATTTAAAGTTATTTTTGAACCACAATTGAACATATTTGCTTAATATATCTAGAAGTATAAATAAGGCAATACATAACAAGCATAAGATAAAATATAATTCAAAAAAGCTTACTTAAAACAAATCAAACTAGAAATAACCATTTTTCTTCAGGTTTTTGAAATGTGTTTATGAAACCACATATATCACCCATAAATAAGATTATTATTGATACTGAGGAAAATATATACATATAAAATTGCGGTTTTTATTCAATGCAATCATAGGTTTGACCGTTGTTTTCAATTTAGACCTGTATATATATTTTTATCCAACGCAATCATAGGTTTGAACGTTGTTTTCAATTTAGACTTGTATATATATATTGGATAAAAACCGCAATTTTTATACGTGTGCATGCAAAACAAATTTCTTGGTAGAGTGATCTAAATACAGCACAAACAACATTTTCTTAAAGACCAAAAAAGTGAAAAGTATATTTAAACAAAACGCATTTGTCTAACAGGTCGAACAACGGATGTTCCTAAACACTGCTGACTGACATTGGCAATTGCCAAATAAACGAATCACAAGATGCAACAAATTAGATCTTTATTATTAATTTAATACCAATAGAAAACAATAAACTTGCGGAAAAGATGGTATACCGCAAACATTAAGGTGCAAAAATTGGTACACCATATCCGGATTTGGACAATTTGTCTTTTCAGTGTTGTTAGGAATCGAAACGGTATTTGGAAGGCCGTATAATTTACCTCAATTTAGGACAGACTCTTGAATTTTGAAGAGTCGAAATAGGATGAACGGATCATATAAACCCGAAGGCAATTACAATACAAGCCCAAACGAAAAATATAAATAAGTCTAAATTGAAAACAACGTTCAAACCTATGATTGCGTTGGTTAAAAACCGCAATTTTTTTACGTGTGCATGAAAAACAAATTTCTTGGTAGAGTGGTCTAAATACAGCACAAACAACATTTTCTAAAAGACAAAAAAAGTGAAAAAGTATATTTAAACAAAACGCATTTGACTAACAGGTCGAACAACGGATGTTCTTAAACCCTGCTGACTGTCATTGGCGATTGCCAAATTAACGGATAACAGGATGTAACAAAATGAATCTTTATTATTAATTTAATACCAAACAGAAAACAATAAACTTGCGGAAAAAATGGTATACCGGAAACATTGAGACGCAAAAATGTGTACACCATATCCGGATTTCGACAATTCATGTCTCTTCAGTGATGTTAGGAATCGAAACGGTATTTGGAAGGCCATATAATTTTACCTCAATTTAGGATAGACTCTTGAATTTTGAAGAGTCTAAATAGGATGAACGGATCATATATACCCGAAGGCAAATATAATACAAGCCCAAGTTAAAAAATAAATAAGTCTAAATTGAAAACAACGTTCAAACCTAATATTGCGTTGAATAAAAACCGCAATTTTTATACGCGTGGATGCAAAACATATTTCTTGGTAGACGGGTCTTAATACAGCACAAACAACATTTTCTTAAAGACCAAAAAAGTGAAAAGTATATTTAAACAAAACGCATTTGACTAACAGGTCGATAAACGGATGTTCTTAAACCCTGCTGACTGTCATTGGCGATTGCCAAATTAACGGATCACAGGATGTAACAAAATGAATCTTTATTATTAATTTAATACCAAACAGAAAACAATAAACTTGCAGAAAAAATGGTATACCGGAAACATTGAGCCGCAAAAACGTGTACACCATATCCGGATTTCGACAATTCATGTCTCTTCAGTGATGTTAGGAATCAAAACGGTATTTGGAAGGCCATATAATTTTACCTCAATTTAGGATAGACTCTTGAATTTTGAAGAG